CCCCAAAACCCCAAAACCCCAAAACCCCAAGAGAGTGGTTTATGGTTGAAAATCTTATAAGGATGCGAGGGTTTAAATAAAATGGAAGTTTCACAAATGTGTTTGAATAATAGAAGAAGGGTTTGACAGTTTAAAGGGTTTGAACAAGATTTTGGAAGCCTTAAGGTGATTTTAAGAGAGTAAAAATTTTAAGGAGAATAAAGAGATTTTAGGAGTGAGGTGGGGGTTAGAGAAAGCTAAAAGAATGAAGGGGTGGGTTAGAAGGGGCTTTGGAGTTATATGGGAGGATAAATAAAAAGGAAAGAGAGGCTTGATATCGGAGGAATGATAGAGATAAGGTTTGATATTGGTCGGATAGAATGAAAATAGAAAAAAACAGAAAATTCGATCAGGTGGTGGAAATTTCTGATCTGAAGAACAGAATACGATAGTATGGTGAATAGAAAACCATTTTAACTCTCAAGTAAAACCATTGTATTTGTGTTGAAAATTGGTTCCCTTGTAGTGTAATTTTCTTTCCATGATACTATTTGGCTAAATCATTTACTTCTAACTTGATAACAGTTTTTCTTGACTTTAACAATAATTCTCAAGAAGCATAAAACTGCTCTTTATTAAATTCATGATTAAAACAATAATTATTCTTAACAACAAAGCTCAAAAAGCCCTAACCTAAACATTTTGCTGCCTAAAGAACTGAATTTTTAAACTCTGCTTCCCAATCAATCAAGCCTCATAAAGCCCAATCACAACCCGACCTCCATACCAATTCACTACCCCCACTAAACCCCCTCTACTTTATTCCTCCCTACCTCAACCCACAAATTCCATTTTCTGTCTCATTTTGGTGCAAAATCAACCTAAACTAAAGTCTCTACTTTCTTCCCCTTCTAATCCCTATAAAACAAGCCGAGCAAGACTCTCAGCCTCCAAACAGATGGAATTTTAAGCGAAGAAACAAAGCAGAAGCGTTACAAGCCATTGGTTCAGTACATAATTTAAAGCCCCTAACAAGCCGCAAAAAATTGTTAGACTAAGACATGAAGACTAGATAGCCAGCAGAGAAGGTGAACAAGGAACAGCCTGAGAGAGATAAGAGATATGAAATAAAGCGAAGGATAGGAAGGAGAGTAAGAATGAGAGAACAGGAGAGAATAAAAGAAGCTTGAGCACAGATAAAATGGAAGAATGGTAAGCTTAGGATTGAAGAAGAGATAGGAGGTTGTAAAGGAATGATAAGGCTGTTTTTGGGGAAGTAGACGGTGAATTTTAGCAATGAAAGCACTGGTTATTAGGTTTTGGACGAAATAGAATAGAATTATTTTTAAAGTTTCAGGGCAAACTGATTGAGGACTTGTGATAAGATAAGCACGGTGTCTTAACTTAAGAATGTTAGGGTAAAAACTCTTTGAACTCCTGTCCAAATAAGCCCATTTTAAAAGAGTTTATAATTTTCTTCGATATTAAATTTCTAAGCCTCTCCACATTAAGAAAATTCATTACTTTTTCATACTGATAATAAACTTTTCTCCAGATCATGCGCAACCTGATATCTTCCCTTACCTTATCCAAATTATATCCCAAATTTCCACCCACCTCATGATGCCTCAATTTAAGCTACAAGCTAACTCTAATCAATCCGTTTCTTTAAAGCAAAACTTAAATTATGGGAAATCTTTATGAACATTATTAACTTAATCAACCATGTAGGCTACTCTGTTCTTAATTATCTCCTACTTAGAAGTCAATACCGAAAGTCTCAATTTCCCTGCTGCTCTGCACTAGTTCTTCTAAAGTCTTCATTCTGGGGTCTTCAATGTTGCCTAGCATCCAGCAGCATAATGTGTACAGGCATCTTGACTGAATAGCTTTGAAGAAGCGTCTTTGGGAAAATCTTCTTATGCATACAAGGAAGTCCGAGATCGCCTCCTTAGTTTCGGGTAAGCAAGTTAATTTAGAGGGCTTGCGCAAGTCAATAATACCTATTACGAAATACACAAGTTGGTCATCCGTATCCTGAATGCCTCATACATCCTTCAAAAGGATCTTAACCCTTGCAAAAATAAACCTTGTCCTAGAGTGAACGTATCGCTTCCTAACAATTTTCGGATTGTTTTGCTTGAACAAATCTCTGAAATACCTTCTCAAGAATCTGAGAGGAGTCTTCTGTTGTATGTCTTTTCTCTTTGGTTCTCCTAAAGTTTTGTAGAAGCATTCAGATTTGTCGGAATCAACCTTTTTCATTTTAGAGGAAGCTGGCCTTTTCTTGCTGCATTTTCTTTTCTTACTCATTAACTTAGGATTCTTTCGTAACTGTTTCTTTTCATACTTCTTTTTCTAAATCATTATGTTATTATTTTCCCAAAACAATAAAGATAGAGAAATCAAACTGAAAGAGTTGTTAAAACTAGTTGATAATAGATAATAATAATTATCCATAAAGAGCATATACTCAGAACCTCAAAAACAAGTTCAATAGGACTTAGAAATTTTAATTTTAGAGGAACCAAACAGAGTTATAATTTGATAAAATCATTTGTAAAAAGTTGTGTGTAATTTTAGATATTTTCAAGAAAAAGGGCTGTGGGTGGAGATATATAAACCAAAGAACTTGTCGGTACTTTTTAGTTTGTTTAGTACCTCTTCTTCTTTCTTTATTCTCGTTCTTGATTTCTGATCCTTTCCCTCTTCTTTATTTATATTCTTCCTTTTTGGTTTTCTGATAATTGAAGAAGTATTTTCTTTATTTAAAACTGTCTGAAGTACTTCCACCCAGATTTCTAATAACTTCTTGGTGTTTATCTTTAGTCTCTTTGTGCTTATCTTCCCCATGTTTAATTCTAAAGCCATCTGGGTTATCTTCTTGATGGTTTGGATCATTTATCTAAATTTAATAATGAGCTAAATACACGAAAATGAACAACTGAGAAATTTTAAGACTCATAGTAATCTTCCCTTAATCAAAATTACATCTTAAGAAGATATCCAACGCTCTCTAATCCATTGAACCACTTACCTTCCAAAGCTCATCCCCAGCCATAGATGCAAAAACATTGTCTGGATACAAATTCCACTCATTTTCACCAAAAAATTCCTCCTCTTCAGACTCATGAATCTGCTTTATCAAATCGCATTCGTTCATCTTATTCTTCTTTATTATTATATCTTTTGCACTCATTCCAATCTCTACGTGTTTATCTGGGGTTTTGGGGTTTTGGGGTTTTGGGGTTTTGGGGTTTTGGGGTTTTGGGGTTTTGGGG